GAACCCACCACCTTAGGTGTATGTGGCTGGCGCCTTAGCCACTTGAGCCACAGGCGCCGAGCCGCTAGGTGGATTTCAACTGGATCTCATGAATTTCTTTCCAGCTTATGCACCTCTCACAAGATTGGACCGAGGGCACATCCAAACTAGCAGGTATGTGCACTGCCCTATACAAACCAAAGAACAAACCTCGCCCTATCACTCTTCTCCACCGCAGTTCACCTCACACTTATTAGAGCTTTAGGATTTATCAGAGGGTTCGTGAGCTTTGATTCTATGGCAAAGTGTATTTCTAGACTACTATCACTGAGGACCTGCCACGGGCCTTTTCTTCCTTAAAACAAAAATTGTTTGAAATGTCCGTCGTGGCAATGCAGAGCGGCAGCTAGCTCTAACGAACATGGCTCCTCATCATTATTTTTACAACAATGCCCCAGCACCTAGCCGCACCCCGCAGGCCTCCACAGCGGACTACAAACCGGAGACTTCTGGGAGCGGAAGTGACGACGGGCGCAAAGCATGCTGGTCTCGGGCGGGCTCGGCTCAAGGCTTCTACCTCACCGCGTGGTGGCCGAGTACCCGGTGCTGCAAAGAGTTTAAACGGGTATTTTTCTTGTATGTCAGGATCAAGTACACCTTTAAATATCTTGTGGATGTAGGACAGGGCCAGGATCTGAGCTTCAGAGCCTTAGTTTTGCCTTCTCGTTTGCGCATCCTCCGAACACGTATTAGGAGGAAATTCTCACAAATCGGGGCTTTTGATGGATCCAGCGGAGTTACTTAATTAAAGACCGAGCGGGTGGATATCAGAAGTGTTCCCTGCTTCAGTTTTGGTTAAAAGTCGTGTGAGTATATGCCTTTGATCTAAAGAAATCAGAGTGGAAGGGTTTGAGCATCTGCAGGCCAAAGTGAGAGCGATCTGGACTGGGAATGCAGGAGGAGAGTGGAGTGGAAGAGTGCCCGGGAGTTTCCCTGACTGGACCGCGGCGTCTTCTTGTCCGCTTAGGTTCAGACCTAATTGTAAATACTGTTTTCCTGATGTATTAAGGACAGTTCTCAAGCAGTCTTTACACATGTGTTCTTTTCCCCAACCATAGTATCAGTTCTGTGTACGTACATTAAAACTTGTTTTAAGTCACTTTTAAAGAACTTGATACAAATCACGCATTTATTTGCCTTTAGGATGGTAATCAGGGGTAAGACATTTGTTTAGGGGGAACATACATAATAACCCGAACTGGTTGTGGTTTTAGATCTAGCCACGTGGCAACCATGAGTGAATGGATGAAGAAAGGCCCCTTAGAATGGCAAGATTACATTTACAAAGAGGTCAGAGTGACAGCCAGTGAGAAGAATGAATACAAAGGATGGGTTTTAACTACAGACCCCGTCTCTGCCAAGTGAGTATGTATACTTTTTCCCTGAAATCATGACACCCGTTGATGCTGCCACTGTATTATAGCCAGACTAATAAAAAAGAGCAGATAGGCTCGGCGCTTGCTCGTAGCACAACGGTTATTGGCCCCAGCCACATACACTGAGGGTGGCAGTTAGAACCCTGTCCAGGCCAACTAAACAACTGCAACAAAAAAATAGCCGCGCGTTGTGAAGGGTACCTGTAGTCCCAGTTACTTGGGAGGCTAAGGCGAGAGAATTGCTTAAGCCCAAGAGTTTGAGGTTGCTATGAGCTGTGACGTCATGGCACTCTACCCAGGGTGACGTAGTGAGACTCTGTCTCAAAAAAAAAAAAGCAAATAAATGAAAGTGTAATTATCTTTTTATTTTTTTGAGATAGTCTCATTCTGTTGCTCTGGGTAGAGCACTGAGTTGTCATTGTAGCTCACAGCAACCTCTGTTTCTAGGGCTCAAATGATCCTCTTGCTTTAGTCTCCCAAGTAGCACCCGCCATTATGCCCAGCTAGTTTTTCCATTTTTAATTCGGGGTGGGGGCTTCTCACTCTTGCATTCCACCTGCCTCAGCTTAAAGCGCTTGGCCAACATACACAAATGTTAATGGAATAGTATTAATGGACACCAACCTTACACTGCCTCCCCCACCAAATACTTTATTTTATTTTATTTTTGAGACAGAGCCTCAAGCTATTGCCCTGGGTAGAGTGCTGTGGCATCACAGCTTACAGCAACCTCTAACTCCTGGGCTCAAGCGATTCTCCTGCCTCCACCTACCAAGTAGCTGGGACTACAGGCGCTTCCCACAATACCTGGCAATTTTTATTTATTTATTTATTTTTTTGGCTGGGGCTGGGTTTGAACCCACCACCTCCCACATATGGGGCTGGTGCCCTACCCTTTTGAGCCACAGGTGCTGCCCCAATGCCGGGCTATTTTTTGGTTGCAACTGTCATTGTTTGGCGGGCCAGGCTAGATTCAAACCTGTCAGCTCAGGTGTATGTGGCTGGCACCTTAGCCGCTTGGGCCCCAGGTGCTGAGCCTACTTTATTTTTTTAAGTTGGCAGAAACAAGGTGGAGATAAGAACTTTTTGGAGACAAGACTCACTTTGTCACCGTTGGTAGAGTGCTGTAGCGTCATAGCTCACAGCAACCTCAAACTCTTGGGCTCAAGTGAGTCTCTTGTCTCAGACTCTGGAATAGCTGGGAGTACAGGCCCTGCCACAACACCTGGCTATTTTTAGAGATAAAGTCTTTCTCTAGCTCAGGCTATGCTCAACCCTGTGAGCTCAGGCAGTCCACCTACCTCACCCTCCCAGAGTGTTGGGATTATAGGCGTGAGTCACCTTGCCCAGCTGAGATAAGAATTTTTTTTTTTTGAGACAGTCTCAAGCTGTCTTCCTGGGTAGAGTGCTGTGGCGTCACAGCTCACAGCAACCTCAAACTGGTGGGAGTTTTAAGCAGTTCTCTTGCCTCAGCCTCCCAAGTAGCTGGGACTATAGGTGCCTGCTACAATGCCCAGCTACTTTTTTGTTGTAGTTGTCATTGTTGTTTGTCAGGCCTGGTCTGGGTTTGAACCACCAGCACTGGTGTATATGGCTGGCACCCTAGCCACTGTGCTATAGGTACTAAGCCTATTGTTTGTTAACTCTAAAAGTTAAATCTGTACCCTGCCTTCTTTTCTAATACACATTTAAGGCATTTATTACTCTCTAAGTAATACTTTAACTGTATTCCACAATATACTTTAGGCTGGGTAAAACGTTTAGGTTTTTAAAACCATCAGGAAATGCTTATTGAACAAGTGAAAGCATTTGATGGTGAGAGGATTAATTTCAAACAGGGAAGAGCATTCCCTGCTATACTAGTGACCTGTGTGGGTTGATAATGCCTTTCATTCCATTGTTTCTTTCATAGTTTTATGGGCCCTTATAGATTTTTCTTTTTGCAAATCAGCTCTGAACTTACTTTTCCTCCAAAGTATCGTCCTTGTGAACTTCCTTGAAGATGATAGTGTGTCTATCACTGGAATTATGGGACATGCTGTGCAGACTGTTGAAGCTGTGAGTGAAGGGGACCATACAGTGAGGGAGAAGCTGATGGATTTGTTCATGTCTGGAGACTGCAAAGCATATAGCCATGAGGATCTGGAAAAGAAAAAGAGTAGTCTAAAGAAATGGCTTGAGAAGAACCACATCCCCATCACTGAAGAGGGAGATTCAAAGAGGACTCTCTGTGTGGCAGGGGTTCTGACTATAGACCCTCCATATGGTCCGGAAAATTGTAGCAGCTCTAATGAGATTATTCTGTCCCGTGTTCAGGATCTTATTCAAGGACATCTTGCAGCTTCTCAATGAGAGGCCAAGATTTGTGGACACACTGTAGACTGTTTTTTTTCTTTTATAAAAGATTTTGAATGTAAGTTCATCATATTATAAGACTTTAAAGGCTCATAGTATGAGTATATGAGTATGTTGATTCTTTAGTTTTGGTAAAATCAGAGGTGTAGATTATGAGTGTTAATTTCCTTAAATTAGTCAACTTATGGATAGCATTCCATGCAGCAAAATTAGCACAAGGATATTAGAATTGTGAGGGTCTTTCCTTGTATTGAGGATACAACCCATTTTTGTTAGGCAAGAAAAGGGTTTTTTTGAGACTATTGCGCTGTTGCCCAAGGCAGAGTTCAATAGCATCAGCATAGCTTACTGCAACCTGAAATTCTTGGGCTCAAACGATCCTCCTTCCTCAGCCTGTCCTACTCCTTCCTCAGCCTGTCCGGTACCTGGGAATATGGGTGCATATCATGTTGCCTAGCTAAGTTTTAGAATTTTTTTTTTTTTTGGAGACAGTTTCACTTTGTCACCCTTGGTAGAGTGTCGTGGCAGCATAACTCACAGCCACCTCAAACTGTTGAGCACAAGTGATACAGTGATCCTCTTCCCTCAGCCTCCCAACTAGGTGAGACTATAGGAGCCCACCATAGCACCTGGCTATTTTTTAGAGATGGTGTCCCGCTGTTGCTCAGATTGGTCTTTTCTTTTTTTTCTTTTTTTTTGAGACAGAGTCTCACTTGATTACTCTTGGTAGAGTGCCATGGTGTCTTAGCTCACAGCAACCTCAAATTCTTGGGTTCAAATGATCCTCTTGCCTCAGCCTCTCACGTAGCTGGGATTACAGGCACCCACCACAATGCCCAGCTATTTTTTTCCAAGACGGGGTCTCACTTTGGCTTAGGCTGGTCTTGAACCTGTGAGCACAGGCAATCCACCTGCCTTGGCCTCCCAAGTGCTGGAATTACAGACATGAGCTACCACACCCGGCTCAGATTGGATTTGAACTCCTGAGCTCAGGCCATCTACCCATCTCGGCCTCCCAGAGTGCTAGGATTACAGGCATGAGCCACCTTGCCCAGCCAAGTTTTAGTTGTTTTTTTTTTTTTTTTTTTTCTTTAGACAGAGTCTCATTATATCGCCCCTGATAGGGTGCCGTGGTGTCACAGCTCATAGCAACCTCAAACTCTTGGGCTTAAGTGATTGTCTTGCCTCAGCCTCCCAAGTAGCTGGGACTACAGGTGCCCACCACAATGCCTGCTCATTATTCTATTTTAAGTAGAGACAGGGTCTCCTGCTCAGTGTGGTCTCGACCTCCTGAGCTCAGGCAATTTATCTGCCTTGGCCTTGTAGAGTGATAAGCTTATAGGCATGAGCCACCATGCCTAGCCAGAATTGGTACCTTTAAAATACTCAGGTTTCAGGGCCTTTGAATATAGTGTGATAACATCTGTTTTCCTAATAATTGCTAACGGTAAGATGTTGTAGCCCAGTGCTTCCCACACTTCAGCAAGCATCAGCATCACTGGAGTGCTTGTTGAAACAGATTGCTGGACCCTACTTCTTATAGATTTTGATTCTGTAGGTCTGGGTTGGGCCCCAAGAATTTGCATTTCTGACAAACTCCCCGATACAGACCACCCTTGGAGAAGCAGTTTAGAAGCTTTAGGGGAACAGAAAGTCCCTCCCTAATAGCTTTAAAGTTGCGTGATCCTGAAAGTAAAATTTAGCACATAAAGTAACATTTCTCCTTGTGAGGAAGACTCTCTTATTCAAATTCTAGGCTGTCTTTGGCAGCAAATAGAGGAAGTGGAATATGAACTAATTGAACTCAGCATGCCAGGGCGAGGGAGGCCCGTGAAAAGAGAGAAGCTTTGTAGGAAATTTTTTTATTCACAGCATCAGTTGGGCTTGATGTTGGCTCAAGGGCAGGATCTGGTGGGTTGATTTTGGTGTATTTATTTGCCATGAGACTAATGAGTTGGGGACATAGACTGTTTTTTGCCAGTGAATCCCCTGATTGTTTAAACAATTTGCCTGCAAACAAAATGAGTGCTAGAAAGGATAAATGATCTGGCTTTGCCATGGAAACATGACTCCACAGGGAGTTTCTCTAGCTGGTCCTAGCTAAGAGTCTCCCCAGGAGTTTAACTCACCTGTTTCAGGTCCCTTTGCAGTGCTGTCCACATTTCTGGTTCCAGATTTCCCAGAGGAAGAGTCCTTCCCAGCACTGGCTGAGCTTCCCAGATTGCTAGAATTACTAGTGAGCCACCCTACCTTGTCCAATTGTCTCTTCAGTTTCCTTTAATCTGGACTAGTTCCTCAGTGTTTCTTTTTTAAAAAATAGTCTTTAGGGCGGCACCTGTGGCTCAAAGGAGTTGGGCGCCAGCCCCATGTGCCAGCGGTGGTGGGTTCAAACCCAGCCCTGGCCAAAAAAAAATATATAGCCTTTAACTGAAGATAGTTCCTCAGTCTCTTTAACTTTCTTGACATTGACGTTGTTTAATAAAAGCCAGTTATTTTGTGGGCGAGCACTGAATTTAAGTTTGTCTCATGTTTCCTTATGATTCAATTCAGAGTGTGCATTTTTTAGGGTAGGAATACCCTGGAAATGACAGGAGCTCTTGTCAGTCTATCATATTAGAAGGCATGTAATGTCGATTGTTCCATTTCTGGTGATGTTAACTGTGATCACTTGGTTAGGGTGGTGTCTCTCAGGTTTCTTTGTTTTTCAAGTTAAAAGGTATCTGCATTCATCATTCATTTAGAAACAGAGTCTCTCTCTTTCACCCTGCAGCTGAGTGCAGAGTAGCCAGCCTGATTGTAGCTCAGTGTAATCTTGAACTCCTGGGCTCAAGTGATCCTTCTGCCTCAGCCTCCTGGGTAAGAGGGACAAAAGGTGCACACTACCATTCCCAGCTAATTGTGTTTTTTTGGTAAGGTGGGGTCTTGGTATTGCTCAGGTT